AACGTACAAGAACGCCTGACGTCAACGTACAACAAGAACACCAGACGTCAACGTACAACAAGAACACCAGACGTCAACGTACAACAAGAACACCAGACGTCAACGTACAACAAGAACACCAGATGTCAACGAACAACATGAACTGACAGCAACTTACAACAAGAACACCTGACGTCAACGTACAACAAGAACACCTGACGTCAACGTACAACAAGAACACCTGACGTCAACGTACAACAAGAACACCAGACGTCAACGTACAACAAGAACGCTTGATGTCAACGTACAACAAGAACGCTTGATGTCAACGTACAACAAGAACGCTTGACATCAACGTACAACAAGAACGCTTGACAGCAACAAACAACATGAACTGACAGCAACGTACAACAAGAATACCTGACGGCAACATACAGTAAGAACTGACAGTAACGTCTACTATTCTTCTAGTGCAGTTTTCTCATTAGTAACATCTACTGTTCACTACAAAACCTCAGCAGACGTTCTGATACAAACCCTGATACAAACACTGATACAAACACTGATACAAACCCCGATACAAACCCCGATACAAACACTGATACAAACACTGATACAAATACTGATACAAATACTGATACAAACACTGATACAGACACTGGTATAGACAATGGTATAGACAATGGTATAAACAATGGTATAAACAATGGTATAGACACTGGTATAGACACTGGTATAGACACTGGTATAGACAATGGTATAGACAATGGTATAGACAATGGTATAGACAATGGTATAGACAATGGTATAAACAGCAACAAACACTCAATCTGCTTCGACTCAGTGTTTCTGGTATTTTGGTACCACCCAACTATTTATCCCCATCATGCAGTTGGTGTTTGCCTGGTTGCTGTATCTGAGTTCATCTCTCTTGGTTTTGTTCAGAATCAAACAGTAAAAGTGAAATGAAGGTTCTGTTTGAAGCTTTGCCTCAGTCGTCTTGATCTTTATGTTCCTGTAAAAGTAAAGAAGTCTTTAAGTGAAACCGCGTCCAGCCGGGTCACAGTCAGAACGTCTTCAGACTCTGATCAGGACTTCCTCGACTCACTGATACAAGCATCTCTGCACCTCTGACCTCACTTTACTGGCGTTTGGAGCAGCTCTCACTGGAGCTGTCGGATCCACCCGGGTCGAGCAGAATTTTAATTGAGCAGCTTCAGATCTGCATTTCAAAGCTGGAGATCTGCAGCGAGAACAGATATTCTTCTTCAGCGTAACGGAGAGTCTGGGTTCTGTAAAGCTTGTTGGATTTGTTTTATTTATTCATTGTTTTCCGTACATTTCATTAATTTATTTATCATCTGATGGCAAAAAACATCAAAGTGGAGAATAATCATTTGTTTTATGAAGATCAAAGGATCACTCAAATCCCTGAAATGTTTTCTCATTTAATGCTTGGAAATCAGATTTAAGTCCTGATAAACACTGAAGCTTCATCATTACTGTTCAGTTTGATTTATTCTGTAAAAATCTGTGACCTGATGGGGAGTCGGTGGGTCCTGACCTGAGCTAACACTACTTTAAAAACCCATTTTAGACTTCACAGCAGAGACAACTTTTAAAGTTTAAACACGTCGCAGAAACTTTACGTGAACCTGTGTTCTGATGTTTTTAGTGTCGAGGATTGTTTTTGTTCGTTTCTGCTCAGTGACTGATTGTTTGAGGCTTAATTACCCCTGCATGCAAAGTGGGGATTGATCTATCTGTCCCTCCGTCCGTCCGTCCATCCATCCATCCATCTATCTATCTATCTATCTATCTATCTATCTATCTATCTATCTATCTATCT